GTGTGTAGAGAGGGCCGTCAACACGCTGAGTGGGCGTGTGTAGAGAGGGCCGTCAACACGCTGAGTGGGCGTGTGTAGAGAGGGCCGTCAACACGCTGAGTGGGCTGTGTAGAGAGGGCCGTCAACACGCTGAGTGGGCGTGTGCAGAGAGGGCCGCCAACACGCTGAGTTGGCGTGTGTAGAGAGGGCCGCCAACACGCTGAGTGGGCTGTGTAGAGAGGGCCGCCACCACGCTGAGTGGACTGTGTAGAGAGGGCTCTAAACAGGCAGTGTATAGAGTGCTAACACCCTGTTTACTTATAGCCTCAACATGCGGCTCTAGTAACGTCTTTTAACGAAGATTTTACGCAGACTTAACGCATTTTATGACCGCAATCTTCCAGTTAGCAGCGCCGGCATCTGCTTGCGATCCTGCTTTGTTTACATACGACGTTTATATAGTGTTGTTTTTTGCGCTCCTACTTTGTTTACATTTGGCTTTTATATAATGTTGCTTTCCTGCCAGAAGCTTCAGCTTTTTCGATTGCATTGTTCACAGTTTGGGACGGTGAAATTTTTCTATTTGTATACGTGCCCTGTTATCATAAGCTTGTTGAATTGTTTAGTTGTTTAAGTAACTTCATTTGTTGAATGCGTAATCAGAGTTACCTCAGTTCGAATATTTTCTATAACAGCTCCCGCTTATAAAATAAAAGCTGAGTATCTCATTAAAATATGAACTTCGAATGCCTCAATCGTTTTTCCCTCCAGCCTCAAAATGTCAAAATGTTATCATTATTAAGAAAGTCATATGTTATTATTTGACTTTTCGACCTTCCAACCTTACCCTTTTTCTTTCACAAACCTTCAGCCCTTTTGACAGCTGAAGTGAACCTGAATCTCAACCATACAAAAAATTAAATAAGAGTCCCCAAATAATTTCTCATTTTTCTCCCACTAAAATTAATTGATTTTAGAATTCTCATAATTCCTAAGCTAGACCGATAATACCGTTTTAATTTTATATTCATCTTTCAACTTCTTTAACAAACTCCAACTATAGTTTCTTATATAGAAGTTTCTTCATATAACATATATAGTTTCTTATAGCGCGCATGTTGAAGGGCAAGATGAATCATGTAGCGCGCATGTTGAAGAGCAAGATGAATCATGTAGCACGCATGTTGAAGAGCAAGATGAATCATGTAGCACGCATGTTGACAACATGCAGGCTAGCATGCAGGATAATCATGCACCACATGTGATGTAAACACGGCAGCGCGGCTGGAGCTGCCGCCATTGTTAGCGTCGACAATATTGTTATTGTGATCAACTTATTAATACACGACACAATATACAATATGGGTGTGTGGAAGTTTGTGTGCTTGTGTACAGCAAGCCTAGCTGGTGCAGCGATATACAGGGGCCATTGTAGCGCGTACCGAGATACCGGTACATGACTGTTTATTTAGGTTGCATGACGTGGTGCACGGCCAAACGTTGATTGATGACGAAATTGGGATGCAAAATTGTTTAAAAGTAATTAATTTTTATTGGGATTTGATTCAAGCTCAATTGTTTACTTGTTCGTTGACCGAGACAATATTCGTGATTTCACCTCAGTGAAGATCATATTAGTATTATTGCTACGATATTGATTATATTATCATCAAGGTGGTATTTTAGTGAAGATATTGTCATCAAGGTGGTGGTGTAGTGAAGATATTGTCATCAAGGTGGTGGTGTAGTGAAGATATTGTCATCAAGGTGGCGGTGTAGTGAAGATATTGTCATCAAGGTGGCGGTGTAGTGAAAATATTGTCATCAATGTGGTGGTGTAGTGAAGTAAACCCCCCACCCCCCTGATGCCCTCACTCTTGCCCTCAGCGGTGGCGGAGACAGCGTTCCTGCACGCCCTCACTTCCCTCGCGCTGCTCCGCACCCTCGCCAGCACCTGCGCCCAGGGGGGGCTGCCCTCGTGCTCCTGTGCCGCCCCCTCGTCAGGTGAACTCCCCTCACCCCGCCCCCTCTACTCTTATTATCTTACCTGATTCTTGTGTCGATTCTTGTAAAATTAACTTAGAATGTTTCTTATTTCATTTTCTTACCATTGCTGTAGTATATCAGGCAGGCAATAAAATTTTTTCTTCCGCTCTACGCACTCTACCTTCTACCCTCACCCCACCCTCACTCCCCTCACTCTCCTCACTTGTAAATTTCCCCAAATCCACGAATTTAAGTTCATTTATCAATAACTTTTTAATTCCAGTTACGTATTGTAAGGTTCTTCCAAATAAATTTTTTTGTGTTTTTGACTTGGCTATTTCATATTATATTTTAATGGTTAGCAGTGTTTCTTTTTGAAAATTGAATAATGCTTATAGCGTCAGAATATTCTTTGATTAATGAAAACGATTTATTAAGGTAATTAATGAACGTAATTAATGAACGTAATTAATGAACGTAATTAATGAACGCAATTAATGAACGTAATTAATGAACGTAATTAATGAACGTAATTAATGACCATAATTAATGAACGTAATTAATGAACGTAATTAATGAACGTAATTAATGAACGTAATTAATG